TGGAAGTAACTTCTGTGATTTCTGACACTTCCCATTTCAGTATCACAATGGTATTAACATCTCTAGATTACAAATGAAAATCTAGGACTCAAAAAGATTAAGGAGTAGCTTTAGTGTCCAAAGATCAGCTGTCAATAAATGATGAAGCAGAGATCTCCAGGGATGCTAATCATCACTCTAGTGCTCTTTTCAAATTGCTACCATGCCATCTTACGATGCATGATGCTAATCAGAGGCACTCCGTGAACTGATCTGCACACATGGCACCACCACTGCTCCATATCTCGCTGTTCTTCTGAATGAATTGAGGCTGGTTTCTAGCCTTTGAGACATGGAGCTCTTAGGGGCTGATGCAAGACCTATTCAAATGTGCTGGAATGACTACACAGTGAGACCTCTCAAAAACAAATGAGCAAACAAACAACAGAATGCACTAAACAAAAAGCTATTTTCACAATGACCTACTTATGGAAAAGACTGCTAGCCATTCCCTGGGCTTACCATGTGTATATAACCCAGAAGCAGTCAGTCAGTCCCGGCGCTTGACTAGACTCTCTGGAAACATGATTAGATAAGCCTGCTTAAAGTTTCCTTTTTTCTTTTAAGGAAAACGTGAGGCACATTTAAAAGACTAATTCACCATTCGGTGTGGAATTTAAATGTATCAGAAAACTTTGGGGGCTGGGGATGCAGCTCAGTGGTGTAACACTTGCCTAGCATGCACAAAGCCCTGTGTTTGATCCCAGCACCAAAAATCAACAATAAAAAGCCCCCAGAATTTTGTTTTTTAAAATGTTAGAATTCTAAAGTGCCACTTAATTATCTGCCATCCATTTTTCTGCCAGTATTTATTTTTTAAGAGGAAGTTTTTAGCTGGGGTTGTAGCTCAGTGGTATTTAGCCAACATATATGAAGTCCTGCGTTCAACTGCCCTGTACTGAAAAACAAACCAAACCTCCAAAAACATAAACAAATAAAAAACCTTAAACTTTTATTTCCTAAAGTGATTTGAAAAATAGTATTAAAGTTCAAGATTATAGGCCCGGTGTGGTGGCACATGCCTGTAATCCCAGCACCTTGGAGGCTGAGGCAGGAGGACTGCCATGAGTTCAAGGCTACCCTGGGCCACACAGAGTTCACGGCTAGCCTGGACTACACAGTGGAACACTGTCTCAAAAAAATAAAAAACAAACAAAAAGATCATATATTTTTTCTTTCATTGTATATTTTTTAGCATTCCTGGCAGAAGTGAGGTTCTGAGTTTGATTCCCGGTACCCCCCTCAATTTTTTTTTAATATAAGCTATGGAAGATTACCTTTTTTATCTAGGTAATTTTGACTTTTTCCACTTTTGAAATGAATACCTTGTCTACGTAGGTTTGCTGAGAACACTGCTCACACTTTTTGTTGCAGTAAGGAATGGGTTTAGAAAAATATTTACATATGCAAGTGTTTAGTCATTTTATTATTTTTTGGTGCTAGGAGTGAACACTGGGCCCTGCACATGCCAACTGTGTGTCGTATCACCGAGTGACACTCTTAGCTCCACTCATTTTGTATAAAATCATTTACCGAGACACAGCATTACTCAAATAACTTCTCCACGGATAACAGGAATGCCACTTCAAACTCCTGATCAGAGAACCTGCTTACAGATGCACGGGCGTGTCTTCTGATGTGCAGTCTCTCCTCGGCCGACAGGGACAGAATCTGGGCCATGGCCTCAGCGTAGTCTTCTTCACTCTCAGCCAGAAATCCAGTCACCTCTCCTTCATGAGGGACGACGATGTCAAGCTTTGGGCCCCCCGAATTATGAGCGAGGATAACTGTGCCAGCTGCCATGCACTCCACCACTCCTGAGAAAGGGACGAAAAGACTCATGCAGTTCTTTATGCTTTTGAGTGTGTTCCTGAGAATGAGGATGAAACCTTTGCAATTTTTTGAGACTCATGAGGAATTTAAAGATATGTAAGCCTATAAGTAGCTCAATTAGCTTCTGGATGCAAATAGAATGATTTTAAGTCTTCAGTTTCCAAAGCTTCAAAATAAGACTACTAGATTCTTATTTAAAACTGACAAGGAGAGGAAGTCACAAAATTTTAAGGGTTCAAATTACATACATTAGCAGAAACAAGGAAGAATGTGTATCCTCTTAGCAAAGCTGGTGCTGGTACTTGTTTCCGCCTGCCTTTCTGCTCTGCCCAACAGCAGGGATGAGTGACACGACTGCAGGAGAGGACAGAAGTCCTCTTGCTGGCCTTTCCTACCTGTATTCTTGGGAGAATCAAGCCCTCCAGAAGATGACTTACTAAGTCATCCATTCTCTGAAGGACGGTGCAGAGGTGACGTCATCCTAGGTATACAGGAGAGAAGTTAAATCATGCCTTTTCTTTTTTTTCTTATTTTTTTTATTTTTATTTGTTTTACTACTATGGGATTCATTGGGAAAATCCTGCCTTTTCTTGAGCAGTGGTAAAACCCCACAGAGAGGCATTCAGTGCCTCGGACTCTGTAAGCCAGGCGCGTACTCCTCCATACTTTCTTGGAGGCCTCTGGTGAATCAGTTGCTCCTCTTTCCTCCGTGAGCCGCTGTCTCTCCCTTGCTATCAGCGTTTAAGTCAGGCCAGGCTCCAGTGGTAAGAAGGGCGCGCGTACCTGGCCTCCCCGAGTTACAGGTCTGCCCCGCCGCGCTCTCCTCCTTCACTCCCTGTCACAGATTCCCGGTGTGGCTGGTACCCAGGCCACTTGCCCGCTTAACGCACTGTTCAGCTCAGCTCAACTGACTTTTGCTATCTCTCTTTGCCCTTGAAACTTGCTTGAACCAGGTCACCAATGACCTCCGTATGTTCCCTACAATCTGGGCAGTTGGGAATTGCTTTTTTCCTTTTCCAAAACACTGTCTTCGAGGGTCTCCAAAGTACTGCAGGCTGGACATTTCCCTAGCCCTCCATTCTCTTCTTTCACCCACATCAGCAGGCTCCGCTTCCTGGGCAAGCACTGCTCTTTATCCCTGTTTCCAGATGAGGTCCTTCTCATCAACGGTGCCACACAGTGACAATGACCTACTAGGTACACAAGTGCGCATGTGTCCCACTGTCAACTCAAAGCCTACGCACTGAGACTTCACCTCTGACTGCCCCTGCTTTTGGGTTTCTTGTCTTGGTGAAAGCCAACCTTCTGCCTGGTTGTTCAAACCAAAGCCCCAGTGGACCTTGTGCCTCCACTCCCTTCCTCACCGGACACATGCAGCCGTCGCCCAGTCCTGCACTACCTTGGGCCATGTCTGAAGCATGCTTAGCTACCAAGTTCAGAGCACCAGCATCCCACTGACCACGGCGGCAGACTGACTCAGCTTCTGGCCTTCCACGTCTGCCCACCTGCTCTTCTCTCTACTTCCCATGCTGCAGCCAGGGTGGACCTTAGGAAACAGAACGCTCTCAAACACAACACTGAAACTTCTTCTGTCTTTCTCTCGGCTTGACCTGGTCCAGATCTCCCCTCCACTGATCCTTCAACCTCTGGGCCCCAGCCACTCAAACCAGTTTCTGCTGATGTCCCTGCTGTCACTCGTCACAGTGCTGTCCCCTCTGCTGGGTACGCACCCCGCATGGCTGCCAACTTTTAATTACTGTTCAGGCCTCGGCTCACGTGTCATGCAGCACATCAAAACATCAGCTCCCTGCTCCCGTAACTGTGCAGTGTTTCTCCACTGTTTCGTGTCTCTCTGAAGTTTCCTCACTAAGCACCAGGCACACAGCACAGCAAATGCCGATGGAGTCACTGACTGCTGACCCTCAAAGGCCTAGAAGCTTCTGAAGGGAAGAGCATCTCCGTCATCGTCCCAGCACCCACGGAGTGTCTGGCACAGGGGGAAGTATCAGTGGAAGGAAGCACAGGAGTTCAAACCCCCGGCAGAAGGTGGGTCAACAAATGCCTGCTGAATTTTAGCACTGTTCTGTTTTCTCCTAAAAACTGTAGAGGAGGCATAAAATAGGCCTTTGATAAATACTGCTAAACCAAACTAGGCAAAAAGTAGTACTTGATTTTATATTAAACTGTGTGTTAAGTATAAGGTCAGACTAGGGAGAGCAATTTGGCTTTTTTCCCCCTTTTTTGAGACAGTGTCTCACTGTGCAGTTCAGGCTGGCCTTGAGCTTACTTTGTAGCCCAGGCTGGTCTCAAACTTGCAATAATCCTCCCGCCTCAGCCTCCTGAATGCTGGGATTACAGGCGTGAGTCACCATACCCGGTTGAGATAGTAATCTGTGTTACAATGAATAGAAGAAACATTAAAGGGCAAGATTTAAGTTGAGCATCTATAATAAGGTTTGCAATAAAGATGAGAGGAGGCCAATACTGAGTGCACAACCAACAAAAGACTAAAAGAGTAAGCATGAGAAGCCCATCTGGAGATGAAGGCCTCTTTTGATGCACAACAGAATGCTCTGTCCAACCTCATCTAGAGATTCCAAGTGGATGCTCAGTACAATGAGGGCAGGGCCCAGCGGCAAAAATGGCAGGTAGGAGCAGTGGCGATCTGGGTCAGAGAATCCAGGTCCTTCCACTTGCTGTGCAACTGACTGAAGCTGAGTAGTTTCTAAACCTCTCTGTACCTCAGTTTCTGTATCTAAAAGGAACAAAGAATACCTTTGGAGGGTTAAATTAGATAATCCTTATAAAACGACAAAAAACTCAACATGATGACCTGCTCATAGTAAGTGGTCAAGAAAAAAATTTTTCTTTTCTTTTTTGTGAGCAGCTGGGGATTGAACACACGACCTCACAGATGCCAGGAAAGTACTCTACCACTGAGATTCATCCTTAGGTGTAATGATTAACTAAGACCCTGTGTCTCAAGTGAGCAAAGGATACTTGGTGGACTACAGAAAGAGAATTAGGACTTGATGCAGGCTTCTAGACTATTATTGTTTTATAAAAACAAAACAAAACAAAAGCAGTATGTCTTGCAGCACCACAAATTATTTCGAAGAAAAACTTACCAATTCCAAAGTGCTCATTCCACATGGTATGCAAACCAATCGTTGCTTCAGACAAGTACTTCTTTAGTTCATCAAATGGAATGTTTATCTTAAATTCCACATCATCTTGAACTTTTAGGTCCTCACACAGTTTTCTCAGCTGGTTTACTCTAAGGTCATCATCTTTGTTACGACAACCTCCAATGAGGACAAGTTTAAGTGAAGGTGACTCAGGCACCTTCCTGCTCAACAATTTAGCAAAGGCTCTGATCTGCAAAGGATGATTCTTTTCAGGTCTGAACTGGCCAACAGAAACCAATAAATGTCCTGGGACCGTCTTTTTCTCATGTAAAGGAATGTCCAGAAATGTCTGTACATCACAAGGTGGATAAACAATGTTCGTGCGATTCCCAACCTTCCACAGGGAGAGAATATGGTTTAAGGTCCAAGAAGAATTGACCATGACAACATCACTGCATGAACCAACAAGTCCATAAATAGAAGCAAATAAATAGTAGTAGATGAGCTTCACTTTGCTGAGAAAAGGATTCCTGGTAATGAAGCTTGCGTTATTAAAAGCAGCAGTTTGATTCTTCACTACAGACAGCATGTCAGTGCTGATAGTGGGATAATGAACATAGCTTCCAACTCGGCAGCCCCCTAGGTACTTAAACAGAGGCAGTGTGAAAGCATATCCCATCGAGTCAATGTAAACATCAGGAACACACTGCATCAGTGCTTCCCAGCCAAGGAAAATGGATCCTAGGCTTTGGCCCAGCAGTGTGAAGCGAGGATAGTACGAATCTTCCACAAGGTAGCGCTTCCTTAGGAAAACGAACTGCACCGGGTGGATCAATCTGATGTTAAATCTTCTGAAAGCACCTTCTAGTATCTGTGGACCATTAACATTAATGTCACCAGTGTAAATAACATAAACTGCTTCAGGATACCTACAACAGAATATAATTACAGATATCTTAGGTCAAAATTAAGCAAAAGTTGTAGATAATTTTTTCACAATCATAAAGATACTAATTTTTACACTAGGAAAATTTAGTTTTGATTTTTGAGACAGGGTCTTGCTGTACAGTGCAGGCTGGCCTTGAACCTACTATATAGCCCAGGCTGGACTTGAACTCACTATAATCCTCCTGCCTCAGTCTCCCAAGTGCTGGATTACAAGTGCACACCATTATGTCCATCTAGAAAAATAATTTTTTCTATTGCTTTTTCATCATTGCATTTACTGACCTCCTGTTTCCTGAGTTTTCCTCTGTTCAAAGTTTAAAATGTTATCCTACAAACAAAGCCATGTACCCTTAGAACCCTAGTGCCGTCATAAAAAGAAGCCCATTGGAAACTATCTGCCCCTTCCGTCTCACGAGGATACAGCAAGGAGCAACCTATGAAGCAGTGTGAGTCCTTACCAGACACCAAATTTGCAGGGGTTTTGATTCTATGTTGAGTTTTCACCCTCCAGAATTATGAGGAATAAACTTCTGTTGTTTATAAATTATCCAGTCTAAGGTATTTTGTTATAGCAGTTGGATCAGACTAAGATTCTGTGTCTTCTGGTTTTTTGTTATTTCTTCCATTGTGGATTTAAGATACAAGAAGATAGCAACAAAAATGCTAATTTATCAATGAGAAGTTTTTATTTTTAGGAAATACTCAAACATTTTATTTTAAGAGCAGGATAAGTCAGTGGTAGAGTACCTGCCTAACATGCATGAGGCCCTGAATTCAATCCCTAGCACTGCAAAAATAAAAAATACTATTTTAACATTTTTAGTATAAAAGTGGTCATGAAATATTAATAAAGTACTCATAAGAACCAAAATTCACTAAAGGTGTCCTTATACAGAATCATAATTCTAAAGCAGTGCTCAGATTTTATCTGAGAAATGCAAACACTTTAAAAACTAGACCTTTCTTTGAAAAAAGGTCTCATTATGCTGCCCAACCTGGTCTTGACCTGCTAGGCTCAAATGATCCTCTCATGTCAGCTTCTGGAAGACCTGAAATACACCATATCAGGTCTAAAATTCAGTAAGATCTTATAAGGCAAGTGGGCATATGAGAGAAATATTTTCTTATTAAAGAACAGTCTGGCTATGAATAATGTAAAAGAAAAAATGAATTTCTCGGTAATGATTTTTTTCTGTTATGGCAACAAGGTACCGAATTCACTAGGAGGGATTCATACATACTTGTTCTGCAGGGTCCTCAAGGCACACCATAGAACCCTTTCTCCTCCTCCACCAGCATTGCAGTATGGATGAAAGAACGCTATCACCGTTTGACTTTTCCCATTTTTGCTAGCTGACATTGACCTTTTCTTTTTCCGTAGCAGCAGCCTGATTCCCCAAAGGGCAATGGCCAAATATACACATAAAATTCCACACACAATTAGCCCAGGGAAGAATAATGAGTAAAAGAACCTGAAATAATAGAGAAACGGTGAAAAATTAATCTGATGCTCATTTAAAAAAAACTCCAAAGGCAGCTTTAAAATATTCACTTTACATATTAGTAGAAATGAGAATTTTTGTAGTTTGTAAGCTTGCCAAGAAAATAATTATATTTTTTTCTCTAAGTTACCCAGGCTGGTATTCAGTCTTTGATCCTTCTTTTTTTTTTGTCTTTTTGAGACAGGGTCTTGCTGTGCAGTTCAGGCTGGTCTTAAGCTCACTTTGTAGCCTAGGCTGGTCTTGAACTCACAACGATCCTCCTGCCTCAGCCTCCCGAGTGCTGGGATTACACATGTGAGCCACCATGCCCGGCTTAGTCCTTGATCTTTCTGTTTCAGCCTCCCAAGTAAATAGCATTGCAGCTATACACCACCCTACTTAGCAAATTTTTTAATTTTCAAAATTCTAACCAGGAGAGATGGCGTGCCCCTGGAGTTCAACTACTCAGGAGGCTGAGGTAGGTAAAAGACCCATTTGAGCCAGGATTCAGTAGATCTTTAACCTCTTCATTTTATAATATAATACCCTGACAGTTCAAGTTTGTCAGTTGTTCTTTCAAGTAAAAATGATGTCTAATTCAGTCTGCACCTGAGACAATCATATGAGGCTTTCCTTCAGACAGCCATATGGAGGGTTAGCCACACCCTCTTCCATTCTGTTATACAGAGTATACAGAGGTATGTATTCACCTTGTAACTGGAATGAGTCCACTTTAAATCCTTTAACCAATGGGAAGCAGTTAGAACAATACAGGACTCTTCCCAGGCCCTGTAATTGGAATGAGTCCACTTTAAATCCTTTTGTTAACAAGAAATACGTACTCAAGAATTGAAATTTAACAAAAGCAATAATTTGTATCTTTTATCACACATTTACTTTTATTTATTTACTTATTTTTGTTTTGTTTTGGGACAGGGCCTTGCTGTGTGGTCCAGGTTGGACTTCAACTTATGGCGATCCTTCTGCCTCAGCCTGACACATCACAGACACTCTTGGTTAAAACTGGCTTTAGTAAGTGAAGGGTGGCAAAAAACACAATGACAGCTTGGCATCATTACCTTCATCTGTGCTAAGGAACTATTATCCACGCAACTTTCCTACCATCGGTGTAAATGTCAACTTAATGAAAAAGGCAAATGCTAAGATAAGAGTTTTGATCTTGAAGATTCACTGAAAGAATCCTGAACTTGCATGAATCCCTGGACCACACTTTGAAAACCACCATCTTAAAAAGTGAACAGAATTTGATGGAAGCGGTAAAGACTTATTTAAAATTTGGAAGATATGAATGAATAAAGGAAAACACTATACACCAGTAGGGCAGTTTGCTTTTCTAGGGCAAGCTTTCAAATGCCTGTTTTATTTAAAAAGCAACTGACTCATATTTAAAGATTTTTGTGTCAAGTCCTTCAAATGATTTAGTGGGTAAATGATCAAATATGTGATTGCTAGGTCTTCATTTCATCCACATAGTGATCAAATGAGTAAATTCAGTGTGTATTTAACATAAATCAGAAACATTGCCACATTAATGATTACAGTTAAATTAGTCCCGTTAGTCTAGTTTTAAAGACACACAGGTCCTATAAATTTATTAAATACTCTACAGTACTTGCACGTCGAAATTATCTGACAATTTAAAAACATAAGTAAAATACGTAACATTGTTTATCCGTGTTTAAATAGAAGGCTTTAGAAAGGTAACTATTCAACAGTGGGTTGAAACATTTAGGAATAATGTATGAAGCATGAGTTAGGGATATTCCTTAAGAGAGGGAAGACCATGGGGCTCTGAAAACAGACTTTCTCATTCAGAATATTTGAAACAATGTTTAAATAGGCAAATACTAACTTTGGTGAGGTCATGTTTATATTGCTTTTCAGAAAGCTATGGTATGAATTATAAATTTCATAGGAAATGTATGGGTGTTAAATGAACACAGCAGGTACACTGTGCCATTATTGATGGCAAACCTTTCAGAGATTGAGGGTCCAGACTGCAACCCCAAACCTACTTACTTATCGTAAAGTGCCAACACTGCAATTAGATTTGCATCTTGACGTTTTAGCACATAAAAACCAACTCATAGGACTCGTGACGTCATCACAGAGAGGGCTGCAGCGCGTGTGCCAAAGTTAGTTATCACTCGCTAGGTCTTCGTTTCATCAGCGTAGGGCGACGCATTTTAAACAAAGCAATATCACAACAACAAAGGTGGAGAAAGGACAGGTTTTACACCAAATGTTAACAGTGGTTATCAGCAGATGGTATGTTTCCTGGTGAGTTTTATTTACGTAGTTCCTAACTTTTCGACAAGAAATAATGTCTTGCGCACGTAATAAAAATAAAAGCAATATCTTATGTAACTATGTTTACATCAAAAAATAAATCAACGAAAAATTAAGAGAAACGGGGAAGGAAACGCCAGCAGTGAGGCAGGTGAAAAACCATGAGGTAATCTGGGTCTCAAAGACCTAGTCTGTCCCAACCTACCTAGGAAACCCGAAAAGGAGAGAAAGATCGCTCATTTACCTGAGAAAACAACCTAGATTCATGCCAATGCAGGCCATTCCCGGTAGATTTTAGCTCTACTTGCTGAGCAACTATCACTACCGCACAGATAACGCTTGCGAGCCCAATCAACCGGCTCCTCACCTCAGCAGCTCACACACACACCAACTCCCCTTGGCGGCCTCCATCTTCCGCCGACACCCGAAATCAGGAAGCTCTTTACCATCCCTATTCGCTATTGGCTTTTTAGGAAGCTTGCGGTGCTCTTCCCGCCCTCACGAGCCGGTTGAGTGTTTCAATTGGTTACTTATGGCCGCTTCCCACGGCCTTTCAACCAATAGAATCTGACTGGGCGTAGACCAGATAACCTCTCCGTGCTCACGGCCCCGCCTAGGTGGGCGGTACCGTAGTGGGCTCAGTGGGAAGGGGTGGGGTCTATAATGGACAGTTGCGGCTCCCGCCCTCGGCCCCTCCCCCACTGGAAGACATGCCCGGGCGCCCCCGCCCCTACCCCCGAGCCCGCCGCCCTGTGGAAATCAAATGGGAGGCCCCTGCGGGGTGCTGATCGATCTTCTGGGGTCAGAGTCCATTCCCGCAGCGGTCACATCCCGCTGCGTCCCGGATCCCGGCGCGGAGTCCCAAAGCGGGCTGCGCGGATCAGACTGGACGCCGCGCCACGCCGACTCGTCCGCCCGCCGGTGGGGGAGCCCCGGGATCCGCGTCCGCCGCTGCCCCGTCCTCCCTCCCCGGCAAGTGACGGAGATCCCAGCGCCGCGTCCCGAGCGCTTCGGCCCGAGGTAGCGGAGACCGCGAGGGCGGTGTGGGCTGGCCTGACTGGGGGTCCGGGCCCGCGCGCCCCTCGCGCCCGCATGGCCCCCGGGACTGGGGTGCGGCGCCGCACAACCTTGAACCCACAGGGCTTGCCTGGTCCTGAACCAAAAGATCTGTTCCAGACCGCCCTCGGGCAGGAGTCCGATGCCTACACCACCGTACACCTTCCAGGATTTTAACATCGCGCTTTTCTGCTCCACGCCTCGCACCAGGTGACCTTTGGGCTCCGAGCCGGTCGGAGAGAGAAACAGCAGATTGGCGTCCCCGAGGGATGATGCCTGAGCAGAAGCAGGTTACAGCCAGGAAGGAGGCCGGTCGCAAAGTGAGTTTTCTTCCCGCGCGGAGGGCGCACAGGCTTTGGGTCTTCCTCCCTGACTCGGTCCGGGGCTGAGCAAAGCGCGGCCCCAGGGGTGGGGTGGTGGTTCCGGGCGATGCTTTGTAGGAAGGGCGTGCTGGTCACAGGTGTGCAAGAACAGCTGGGGACTCAGCCTTGCTGTTCATCTTCAGGCGCCTGAAGGACTAAGTGATCGTGGAGTCCTGTGTAAGAGCCTTAATTCTTCAAAACTAATTCCCCGAGGAAGTTTCAGGCTGGTGCCTGCTCTTTATGGTCTGAATCCAAGTCCTGCAGTTTTAAAAATAACTATTGACTGCACTTTTATTATATGTAATATATTAATGTGGTCACTTAATGCAAAATGTACAAAAATTTTTAGCACGGAAAGCAGAATTTCCAGTCCCCTTCTTAGTGTATGTGTGTCTTTGTTTGGCAAGTACTTATTGAAAACTTATGTTTTAGACAAGGTATTAAAGAGTTGATAAAGTGCTTAACATGGTATGTTTACATAGAGAGAAATCTTTAGGGTTTTTTTTTTTTTTTTTTTTTTTTTTTGGTACCATGGATCGAACTTTTGACCTCGCGCTTCAGGCAGGTGATTATGCCACTGAGCTAAATCCCTGGCCCATGTGTGTCCTTTTAAAATGTTTTGTTTTACATAAAAATCGTGCAGTTTTGAAAAAACTGAAAGTTAATATATTTGTGAGATTGTTTCACTACCTGCTTACTCTGTTTAATCTCTGCTGAGGATTTATGTCCCAGAGTGTGTCCCTGTACTGTGGACATTCTGATTGGTGCTGCTGCTGTTTTTTTTTTTCTCTTTCTCAGAAATGGGCATCACCTTCTCTCTCTCTCTCTCTTGTTTTTTTGAGATAGGTTCTCGATCGGTAGTCCAGGCTGGCCTTGAACTCAGTCAGGCTATCCTCAAACTGGAGGCAGTCCCCCTCCCTCAGCTTCCCACGTGCTGAGATTACAGGCATGTACCACCATGCCTAGCTGGACATGATCTTTTCCCTTGATTTTTAGTGTCAACACTAGAGTATTTCTTTAGGATAGGCACCTAAGCCTGGATAACTGAAGAGTTGCTGACTCTTTTCCATACATCTCTGAAATTAATTAAGTCAATGATAGAAGTACTGTTAAGTGCCCTTTGGTAGCAGTGTCTGGTTTCTAGTGGTGTGGGAATGACAGATAAAAAGATTAATGGATAGGCAGAGAGGCTGTTTGGTAGGTGATTCTTAATGGTGTAAGGGCTGCATTTGATCTGGGGTGTGGGGAAGAGTGGCTGGTGCAGAGGAGGGAACACTTCTAACCCCGATAAAAGCCCAGCTGGAGAGAAAAATTCTTATCCTTCCAGATCAGGCCCACAATCTGACACCTCTCAGAAACCTTCTGTAACTGCCCTGGCTCACACTGACCTCATCCTCTTCTGAATTCACTGATAACAGCCATAGCCATTGTTGTAGAGCTTTCTATGTGCCAGGCTCTGTATTCAGAACTTTGTATCCCTCTGTGGGCACTCTTTGCCCCAGCTCTTTGGACTGAACCTGGGGTCTGTAGCTCAGGTGCTGTACCACTGAGCTTCTGAAGCCCCTTGATGTGGGGTGTTTTTGTTTGTTTGGTTGTTTGTGCTAGTGAATGAACCCTGGACTTGAACATACTAAGAACATACTCTGTCACTGGGCTTCACCCCCAGCCCTGATGTAGTATTATTATTCTGTGTCACCATTTGTACAACAAGTATTTTCTGAATACTTTGACAGGAATCTTAGACACTAGGGATCCAGCTAAGTCTGTGACTGCCCTCATGGAGTAGGAAATACAGCGGGGAAAAGGGTAAACAAATTAGTGGTTTTTCAGGTACTGGTAAGTACTGTGAAGAAAATAAGCAGGTTGGGGGCAGGAGGGGAAAAAAGGTGGTATTTTAAGTGCATGGTCATAGAATGCTTCTAGGGGAGGTGGGATTAGAGAGAGTAAAGACCTGACTGATTCAGCTTCCTGGGAAGTTTTCTGGGTTGGGATACCACTAAGTATCTAAGTCCTAAGGTAGAAGTGTGATAATCTGAAGTATACATTTGATCTTTGTCCTATGCTTCTGATGCACAGGACAAAGCCTTGGAATTTTGTGAGTCATGGAGTATTATTTTGTGGTTCTTAATGCGCTCTGTTTAACACACCTGAGTTCTTGTAGTGAGGTGGCCCTTGATGGACCTCTAGATAGCTGTAGAATGGGGATGTTGCTCAGTCAGAGGCCCTGGGCATTCATTCCTCAGTGCTGCAAAAACCAAACCACTCTGCCCATTCTGGTAATAGTATGTAAAGTGCTTTCTTTAGTTCTGTTTGCCACGCTAGCAAAGTATTCACAGTAAAGTTGTGGACAGGCCCTGGGCATTAAGTTATTCAGATGTTTACGTGCCCCAGATTTGGTGCCAGAAAGAGGGGGAGTCCTGTGGGACTGAGCCCTCACCCAGTGGCTTACCTACTCTCTGGTAACTCCAGGTGGTGTTGGAACTGAATTGGATTACAGAGTTGCCAGTCATTGTCTGGGAGGTTGGAGAATTGTTAATGTGAAGAAACGCCCCAACTATTTGGTGATGGAATGTCTGATTAGGAATAACATTAGTGTTTGAGGAACTATAAGAAAGTCAAAGTAGCTGGTGCAGAGACAGAGAGAAGCGGGAAATGGTAGACAAGAGGTCAGAATTCATCATCCTTTTACAGATAGGGAAAGTGAGGCAGAAGTCAATTAACTTAGAGACAGATCTGTGGCTGAGTCCTGGCCAGGCTGCTCTGTCTTCCTTAGGAAGATATTACCTTCCAAACTTCCTTGGCACTTGATCATGCCACCTGGTATTATTATTATGTAAAATAGGAAATACAGCGTATCTTATTAAAAGTAGGGACCAAGTTTATACTATTTAAAAAGTACTTTCTGTAGTATGAAAAGGAGCCCCACAGTAGTTGTTGAATGAATGGATGAATTATGTGTGATCTCCACAGTGTTTTCTCTTGGAGGCTTCTCTTTGGGGCATTTGCGACCAGGTAACCTGGTCCTTCAATATTCAGTCCACAACGTGGGACACCTTTTGCTTGTCTGGTACTGCTGGGTTGGGGGAATGCAAAGATGAAGAGAGGTTGGCTCCTGTGTGTCATAGGTGCTGAGGCAGGCATCTGCATAGTTCATAACCCACAGAGGAGCATGATCTGTTTCTGGGAGCGAGCGCACACGGGAACTGAAAGAGGAAGCAGAAGAGCATTATAGCACAGAGCGCAGGGTACTGTGGGCAGCGTGTGGGCAGCGTGTGTGACAGTCCAGAGGACTGGGAATGGGAAGAAGCTCTTTGGGGCTTGGCAGGCCTGGAGAGTGATTGTGGAAGGTCCAGTTCATCAGGTCAGCAGTTTGAACTTTACCCCCACAGACTGGGGGAAGAGTCTGAGGCCCCCTGGGGGGAGGCTGAACCCAGAAAGGGGAGAGTGGGAATTGAAAGGGAAACTTTACACAGAAGCGAGGAAAATCAGGGAGTAAATAGCTGGAGGTCCCTTCTGACTTACTCTGATGGACTGTGGCGTTGCCTTAGGGAGAAGAGGGCTGAGTGACCCTAACTCAGGGTGCAGTGCTAAGTAGCCTGGGAAGCTAAGAGAGTGGGAAAGCTGAATTTTAAATGTGTTTTGCATTTTTCTCTAAATCAAAGGATGGCCATAGGCCAGTGACTTGATCCCTGGCCACTGATACCGCAGCAAGTATCAAGGAAGTATCTAGTTCAGGTGACTTTAGTATCATTTTTATCTATAGGAGAAAACTGCAGTGAGGGCCAAGTGAAATTCCCTTTTTTCTCTTCTAGTTAAATTCTGAAATGTGTGTTGCTTTTTGTTTGTCATTTGTCATGCTTGGCTCAAACACAGAGCCTAGCACATGCTAGGCAAATGCTCTAGCACTGAAGTATGCTTTCTGGTATCAAGTGTGTTTTGGTTTGTTTTATTTATTTATTTTTAGGCTAAGTTAAAGGTGAAAATATGAGCAGGGCAAAGATTGGGGAGATAGAGAGCCAGCAGAGAGTGACCTTTTGTGGGGTGAGTAGGGTTGAGGATGAAATCTAGGACCTTGAGCATGCTAGCTGAATGCTGTACGACTGAGGTAGTTTCCAGGCTTGCAATTATGATTTAACTGTACCTTTCCTTCTCCTCTTCTTATTTT